GGGGGGTGACCTATATTTCCACTTGACCCATAGTCCGGTTTATACGGTACACAACAGAGAACGCTGAAACGACACAACATCGATGTCGTACGTGCACAAGTAGACTGGGGCATGTCATGCACGCGTGACCTTGCTTACGCATGTTTTTCTTGGTGCGTATGCGTCATGTGATTCTCCAGGCCCGATACAGAAGAGAATAGGGAAGGAGTGAGGCTCGCGAAGGCTACATGGGATGAGAGGCAAGGTATTTAAGCTTGATTCTTCGCATCATGTTTTGGGGGCTCGTAGCGAACCAGTTTGAAAAATCACCGCGGTAGAACACTTTTCATTGGACATGCAAGAACTTCTAGGGTCTAACTACAACTAATTATGTCACCCAGAGAGGGACGCTTGAAAAGTAAATTACAAACTAAACGAAAGCCACATGCACATTGCACTTTTTACCCAAAGGCCCTGATGCAGATGGGTTACAATGTCGAAGAAAACACGCTTTCACTGGCACAACACACTTTGTTCTTTTTATAAGCTATTTCATTCTGTCATGAAACTAACAAAAATGAATAATAAAAAAATCACACTGATCCGACATTCTGAATTCTTAATTACCATTGTGCAAAGAGGACTGTTTAGGTACATTCATTTTCAAATATGAGTTTTAGCATGAAAAGCTTGACATAGGAGCTTTAACCGAAGTTTAATTCGACACGATGATCGTAATTTTCATCCTACTTCATTTCTCACATTGTTACAACTGTCATTTTTAAGTAATGGTTTAGAACAAACCTTGAAGCCCTGTTCTGTATTTTTTCATGTTTTTGTCACTTAGACATATGACAAGGGATCTCATATGGAACAAGCGTATTCAAGCATACGAGGAATGTATGCTAAATACACCGCTGATTGTAAACATGCTGGCACCTGTCTCACGCTTTGCTGTATAAAGCATAACGATTCAGTGACCTTCGCCCCACTGAATCAACAAGAGCATTCAATGAGCGGCCCCCCATGGTTTTTCATTCGTTCTCCAGCTACCCATGGCTGCCCAGAAAAACCTGCTGTTCCTTTCCCACCGCAACACCCAGGTCTTCAGGGCAGTTCTTCAGTTCTTTGAGGGAACTGGACAGCTGTCTTTAGGAGGCGGTCGCCACGTCCTCGGCCATAGACGTCACTTTTATTTTCTTATCCCATCTTTAATTCTCTCTCCTCCTTCCCCTGCAGACGCTGAGACATGCTTCTACTTAGGGCTGCAGAAATAGCATCTTTTGCACTCCTCATGCTCCTCCGCCAAATGCTATCGGCATGTCACCGTTGTCTTCGCTGAACATTATGGTGTTTAGAAATATCAATGTTGCCTTTCTTACATGAATGATTTCACACCACACTTGAAAACAAAATTTGGGCTTAAATAGCGCTCATATAGGCAATCATTCGGAAAATAGGCATTTATAGGCACTTATAAGCATTTAGGCATGAACACCCAAAATAGGCATTTATAGGCACTGTAAAAACACCACAAAAGCCCTTCTCAACCTCTAATTCATCCTCATATATGAAAATGGCACTATAGGAACGCAAGGAACAAAATAAACATTTGCCTATATTTCCGTCTCTACTCATGATCTCCAAGATGTGAAGCGGTGCACCACTGAAACCATGGCCACCTTATTTTGATGCTGCCAGTTGTGGAAGTCGCAATACTCACTGCACTCGGGATCACACGGGTTCAGGCTTAATGAGCCACGGGGCTGCGTATACGGTTGCCTGCTCTTATGTGGCACATTCTCTGCATCCGCTCAACTAGTAAAGTGTATAGCATCGTTGCAGCAAAAGAGACAGTGTTCGATCTAACAGTACTGCAGACTGGACGAGTTGGTGCACGATAAAATTGTATTGCTTCAGCGTAGCTAAGTGTGAGGGTGAAAAAAGATGCAACAGTGTAGGAGGGAAAATACAAAAAAGACTATACGGGCTAAACTACCACTTTTGTTTATTGCAGGACCCTACAGCGCATCATATAGCTCAACGTGCTATACACATGACGCCGTACATATGACGAAAATCTCAAACGTGTGGCGCAGCACACATGACCAAGAAATGTAACTTAAAGCAGATAGCAAATTAACAATTCTAGATCAGCACTTCACAACACACGCCCAAGAAAATCGAGAAAGAAGAGGACGTTCTGTTGGTGGCAAGAGCTCGCTGCTGCGCGTTCACTGCGGTATACCGTTGAGTCGACCGTTACGTCGGCTTCGAATAAACCCCTCGTAGACGTAACAATACTAAGCCACTTGTCCACATTCGCGTTGTCCTCTCCAGTAAAGGTACTGGGATCACGGGGTTGCATTAGGGCAATGTACCGGGTTGCTGTCATTACCGAGGTAGGTGGCGAAGCCGTATCCTCACCCGGAGCCATGGTAGCAGACTTAAGGAGGCCTCCACTGCGTAGCTCCGTTGTCAAAAGAGAGAAAATAACAGTAGTCAGTCCGCAGCCACAACGCAGCTCAACGACAACGCCCACTTCTTCACTATCAGTCTGAGGCACCTTTCTTGGCTATATCCCACTATGCCCTCTTTCAGTCAGCCGAAATCACGTAACAATATCTTCTAAAACGAGTTCCAAGTGCTTCCGAACCAGTAAAGTCATTTTTCTTGGAAGAGACGACATCATAAGATGTAATAATCAAGATATTTTTGGAAGAGTTGGTGGGGGAGGCCCAAGGCACCCTCCTATGTAATTCACGCTATACGCCATGTTGAAATGTCTATGAACGACACTGCTTTGAAATACGTGTGAGTAGACCTGAGTATGAACATGAATTCAGGTAAGGCTGATGGTAATGCTAAATATGACGATATAGGACCGTAAGTCAGCAGAATAAAGGGAAAGTCGCTTTGGACTCGCTTGGTCTCAGGTTCGCCAAAATTTTGCTGAGCCGAGCTCACTGGGATTCACACTCACGAAAATTTTCTGCAACAGCACTTGCTCGGTTTCGCGAAAATATTACTCACTCGGGCCCACTCAGACTCAGGCTGACAGCTTGATCCAAGTCCGAGTGATTCCGAGTGAGTTGACTCCAAGTGAGTTCGCTGATCTGTGGTCCTATGTAAACCGCATCGCACGACAGAGAGAACATGTAGAAAAAATGTAGGGAACATTCAACAAACCTAGCCCCATGCTTGTTTCCACAAGTGGATTGCAATTCCTTCATAGGATTTGTTAGCTTGCATAGTCGATTTACTTTTTGTTGGGCAGAGAAAAATATACGGAGATTTTTTCTCATGGCTATCTTTTTCAAGTTGTGTGAAATTTGATTCAAATATGGTTTGACAGTCGTTTTTCCAGCAGGGCTTACCATTGTTCTGCTGCCATTCCCGCCTGCGTGAACCATGCTTCAAGCACTCAGCTACTTACACCTGCGTTAACACTGCATAGCCTGCCAAGAAAAATCGCTTGCTTTTGCCTGTGAAACTAGAACCCATAATGTGTTAACATGACTTCATCAGCTCATTCCTAAAGCACAGCCTGGCAATCCCTCGTTTTATCAGCTTTGAATTCGCTGAATTGTATCGCTTGAGGGGCTCTTCCGACCGCGGTTCATAGCACCAGCAAGTATATTCTAATGAACAAGAGAGACAAAGGTCAAGAAAGTGGACTGTGCCTTCTTGTGGTATTTCAAACGTGACGTCAAGTGGTACTAGAACACTCCTTAATGATTAATGACGCACACTGACAGACATGCTTTCTATGTACGTATCTAGGGGCCACACTGATTGGGATGTAGCTCTGCCATTTATCACCTTTGCCTTACAGGTCATTGCATCATGAAACAGCCGGATACCCATCGTTTTATCTACACTTCGGTCATTAACCTTTACTTTCCTTCGACATCCTGCTTTCCTCTGACCAATGATCCTCCACTTCGTACGCTCAATATGCCGTCACCCATGCTCTCAGGGCACGCACAGTAACCTGCGCTCGGTTGTTGTCCTCACAGATAGCACAGAAGTCTCTTTACGATCGTCGACATGAGAATGCCGTTTTTCCTGTTTTTTCTGCATGCTTTTTTGTTCTACTGTGGCTTCCATCTCGACGTGTTGGCCTCTGTGAGAAATTATTATCGCGCCACGTTGGGCCCTACGAAATCATTCATCAGGTCACTCCTGTCATGAGATTTCCGCGACCACAAATTCATGGACTGCTACACAAAGAAGTGGTCCACGTTTCTTGTCTTAAGCCCTACAATGGTGACTCGCCGATTCAAGAGGCACTGAGGCGGTGCCTTACCGGCCGGGGTAACGACACGTGTATGGAACTGGAACTTTGGCACAAGCACGAAAATGTCACCCAAAAGAAGGAAGACGACAACGTTGTTGTGGGCTGAACTCTTGAGCTGCCTAGTTGGGCTGCAATACTGTGTTCTCTGTGCAGCGTTAGCTAGGCCCACTGTCAATGAATAAATATTCTGCATAATAATATTTTTAATGGTAATTATTCCGTTCTCTTGAAACAGCGGTTTTGTGGGATGTAAATAAGGAGCATTATTGATGCAATGAACATATTTATTTTTCAGTTGCTATAACCCATTAAATATTCTGTTTTGGGGTTGTAGTTCATACTAAAGTGCAGTAGCTTATATGCTTTTATATAAGTAATCCTGTTTCAGGTGATTATCTCATATCTTGGGTCTACAAGTGATACTCTTTTTAGGAGGAGTCATTTTAACTAAATAACTTTCAAATGCCTCTGTGACAGGGCTGTAACATAGTACATGGTCTTCCATAAAAGAAAGTATGTGGAGTACTTATAGTTACGAAGTTCATTATGTTAAGTCATTCAAGTGTGATATAGTATCTGAGATCAACCATGGGTGTTTATCGCCCCTATTATAGCAGCTATTGCAGTTTTGTGTACTGTGCACACAAAGCAATTTCACTCCTGCTATGAAAGCCTCATAAGTGTTTGTTTTCTTCTGGTAACTTCTGTTCTCGCACTTCAGTTCCAGATGTTATCAGGCCATTTGAGACGCAGTTGTCATCATTCAAGCTTTTAGATATGCTTCAGGACAAGGACACAAAGGTGTTAATCATGGATGCCAGGCCGAGACGAGACTTCCTCGACTCTCATCTGAAAAGCAGCGACTGCATTAACATTCCTGAGGAGGTACTCAAACCAGGGTATGACACTGCCGTTTCTGCACATAGAGGCACACACTGTCTTGTGCTGTTGTTCCTTCTACGGATCACCGTATTCACTCAAAACTAAATGTGCTCCTTTTTCCCAATAAATAAAGTCAGAAAGTTGGCACATGTTGCGGCATTGACAATAGTCTTCAGCCAGAGAGGTCAGATGCAGAGCCTTTGCTGTCACAAAATAGTGACGGGGCAGGTAGGCTTTGTTGTGGATTTTCAGGTTCATTTTATGCTCAGTTGTAACTTTTCATATCATCTCTGTTCCCAATTAACCACTCATAGTGATGCAACAGATTTGTTATGTGTGCTCAAGTCGATGGCAAGTTATTGTTCATGCAGCAGATAAAGGCAAGATAGCTGAATTGCATCTTTTTTGTATTTTTGAGACCCATGTCTGTGAGGGGTACAAAGGAAGGAGACACACATTCAGCTGTATGTGTGTCGACCAAAAAAAGCTTCCAGGGGCTGAAAAAAGGAAAAAAAAAAATTTGGATCTCACTCTTAAGCTACTTTGTGGGGATTGAGCTTTTCTTGGGGACAACCCTTGAAGTGTCACTTGATAGAGGTCTTTTTGGCAGTGATCCTAAATTCAGAAAAACTGTATCACAGAAGGAAAGAAATGGCCAGAAAATAAGTTCTTTACTCTTCAAAGGGAAGTCGTGTCTGTCTTTTTCTTTTGCTCATTGTCCACCCAAGAGCATTAATAGTTGGGCAAAGTTATGTGTACACTCATTATTTTCCTATTTCAAGCTCTCATAAACTGAGTGTAAATACAGTATTTCATTTAGCTTTCGCTCTTATCACTTGCTGAAAGATATGCGTGTTGTACAGGAAGTTGCTTGAACATTTTCTTCAATTCTATAGTGAATGAGTATTGTTGATTAAGCATCTGCATGTGGCTCTATAGCTTTGTCAGCACTTCCTTGGATGTATGGAAGGCACCAGTGGGTAATATGAAATATACATCGATACAAATATTATTAGCACAGACTTGACAAGCGAGTTCGAATCAGATGAACGATGACTGTGCGCAGTGCTACTGTCATTGTTTATGTTGCTCATCTTCTTCCTAAAAAAAGGGATGCTTTTAAATTCTATAATCTTCACCTTAGCCCTTTATGGGGCATAATGTTATGAACAATGCGCCCGAATTGTTGAGGGTGGCATTCTCGTTTGTATCAGCTTCCTATATTATATGCAAAATTTGAAAAAAAAAAAAAAGAATTGGACGTAAGTGTACCATTGTCCCCTGAAAGACAGGCACTTTAAAAAAATTTACTTTTATTATTTTATATTTTTTAATATGAACTTGCTGCTGCCTTACAATCAACAAAGGAAATAGCCTACAAACACCAACTACTCATCATAAACAAGTTAATTGGAGGTTCTTTGTACATCCACTCGCTATAACGGCACTTGAGCAGCAGATGCTGGGGATGCCTGCAACAGTCTGTACATGGAGGAAGCTAAACTACTTCTTTCACAGGAACAGACTTCTCTGCATGAAGCAGAATGAAAATTGCATACTGCATTTAGTTGTACGCAATATTTAGACTGTCTACACTATCGAAAATATATCATCGAATGGTTGTCAGTTTTGTATTGCACAATTTTTTGAGGAAACTGTGTTGGTAGGAACAAAGAAAAGCGCTATAATAGCACATTTTGGAACTGATGAGTATGAAACAGAATTTTCAAGCTTGCCTCTTATGCTCAAATGTGATGAAAGAAGGATGCAGTGCTTGCAAGCAGATTGGTTCGTTCTGAACATGTTTGTGTTCAAATCAAAACCGCTTTCTAGAACAATTGGAGATAGGTTTGCAAAAGGCTTACCCTATGAAGCGATCGGTGAAAGGTGCGACGTTCTCCACTGTCGTTGTGGATGCAGACATTACGGCTGGGCTAATCGATTCTCCGACACGGTGCAGAGAAGGCACATGAGGTGGGTCATCATATTAACCCATGATACAGCACAGTCACGGGCTTGCAAGCTGACAGGGAAATTTCGCAAGACCAATCAAGTATACACTTTCCAATGAGCGCTTCAGCTATCACACAAAGGGCAGCAGCTGAGTGCGCTTACGAGAAGCTGCCTGCTTAAGGAGTGCGTCTACCTCCCATCCTCCCATGCTGGCCGGTGTGAATCTGCCCAGCTGGCGAGCACCAGACGAAAGCAAGCTACCAGGATAGGGGCTGTCACGGGTGGCCAATGAGGATTGGTGAAGTTCTGTGACGTGTGCTAGCGTGATGCGAGGGGTAGGCATTTTCCGGGCCTGTTTGGATACACATTTTCGTGCAATGAGAACTGATGTACAGCTCACACCAGACAAAAAGGTCTGGCAGCAAAACCACGGAGGCCATGTTGCCAGCGCTCGAGCCGCACGCGGCCAGCACTCACACTAACTGGGGAACGAGGTGCCAAAGGGGAAAGCGCACTCGATTTTCACAAACATAAATGCAGTTGCACTAAATGTTTGAAAGTAATTGATTCATTGATCTTGATTTAAAAAATTTGAACACGTTGAAGAAAAAAGTGGGACATAGGAGTCCCACAAACCCGTGATTGATTAAAAGGGTATCAACTTGGGCTTGTGTTGGCAAGGCTTCATCTCAGAAAATGGTGTGGGCAAACAATACAAGAAAGACTTGCAGTTTCTGAAAAGCTTTTATAAATGTACTGTTAGGTGAATACTGGGCCCAGAAAAAATAAGTAGGTTCACTCTAGTGGTGCCAAGTCTGCAGGTCTGGGCAGTCTTCTTTGTTTCCCTTCGATTTTATCTTTCCTACTTTCAGTCTTTTTTTGTTTCTTCTCTTCCCCAGTTTTTCCTGCCTTTCTTTTCTCTCTTGCTATTTATTTCTAGCTTTTTTCATTTCTCTCTGTCTCTTGCTTCCTTTTTTTTCTGTTTTTATGCATGATTTTGCCCGCATGCCAAGCGATGGCAGCATAAGACAGCCCGGGCCCCTGAAGTCTCTTCATTTATGAATGCATCGTCAAAGCACTCAAAGGACCAGAGGACTTCTTCTTGGAGTGAACGTGCACTCAACATCTTACAGATCGTTATGATATACATGGCTTTGTCTGCGTTACGCTAAGCGATGGCAGCATAAGACAGCCGGGGCCCTTAGAGTGCTCCGTGCTTATGAGTGCACCACCAAGCATAAAGACAGCCTCGCCCCACGTGACGGTTACGTCATGTATTACTGTCAATAGATAAAACACTAAAGAGCAAAAGGGATCTTGTAGTAGCAGAGCAGTTACTCAAGAATTGTCGTGACAAGCTGGCAGTGTTTATCAGAGACTTGCTCAGATGTAGACTCAGGAATATTTTCATCAATCGTACTCACATGTACTCATACTCAAGAAAACATTCCACAAGCAGGCTCGCTCTGACTCGGATTCGCCGTAATATAACTCAGCTGGACTCACTCAAATGTAAACTCATGAATGTCTTCATCAACCGGACTCACTCGGACTCATACTCATGAACATTTTCCGCGATCGAACTCACTCAGACTCGCCATAATATCACTCAGCTAGACTCACTCAGGTGTAAACTCATGAATGTTCTCATCAACCGGACTCACTTGGACTCATACTCACGAAAATTTTCCGTGATTGAACCCACTCGGACTCAGACTCGCAATAATATAACTCAGCCGGACTCATTCAGATGTAGACTCAGGAATATTTTCGTCAACCGAACTCACCTGAACTGAGCCTTGCCAAAATGTTTTTCAAGCTGACTCACCCGGACTCATACTCACCAAAGTATAACTTAGCCTGACTGACTCGGACTCAGGCTCACCAATGAATAACTAAGCCAGACTTACTCGAACTCAGACTTACTGAAGTATAACAGGTGGACTCACTCAGACTCATGCCTCAATGTGGATCGTAGCGAGTCTGAGTGAGTTGACTCATGAGTGAGTTTGCCGACCTGTGTCAAAGCGTTCATGGTTGCCTTCAAACCGAATGCTTTTCATTATCAGCAATAGTGTTGTTCAAGAGGCCTTTGTTTGTTGATAGCTTTGCTTTAATGTGCTAATTATTACTGTTCTGTAAGTTTAAATATTCGCTTGTGGTATTTACCTAAAAAATTATAGCATGTATGTTGTCACTACATAATTGCCATCTAGATAAAGCAAATAAATTGTAAAAGTAGCTTCTTAAAGACGTATTTGCATATACAGTAGAATCTTGATGATACAGATTCAAAGGAAGCACGCAAAATATTCATATTATCCCGAATTTGCATGAACCAAAAACAAATTAAAGCTGATATTGAAGATGAACAAGAACTTTATTGGCAACCACTTAGTGCTGAAAGAAAGTCCATGATGGTTTTTCGAACTTTCCAGCCTTCATCGTCTCAATAAGGTGCCACAGATTCCTCACTCATGCTGCTGGTGCGGCGTGCTCACATCAAAGGGAGCAAAGTGGCCAAACTCATTGGAAATTCTCTCACTGTGCCGCTTAAGGAACTGGGAAACCGTGCCTCATGATCCTCATGATAAAACTTAGTCCAGGATTATTCACACTAGAGAATTTATGCGAAAACACTAAAGCAGCTGAAAAATCACGTCCGCGCCCGTCGGAAACGTTCACATTCAATCTGCCCCTTGAACATGCCGCCAATCACCATTTGTGAATTCATCCCATTTTGCCCATATCCTGGGCATTAAAGTTTGCGCTGAGTTCTAGTTTTGCATGCAAAGCACTGAAAAAGAAAAAGAAACTAGTTTACACGTTTACAAAAGTTCTTTCGGAAGGTTTGCCAGAAGAAACGACACAAGTGGATACAGCAGCGTCGACAAATTAAGCCAGCAGTGCAAAAACGAGGCACCTTAAGGCATGTTGGCTCGCTGCTGCTGCACCTCCTTCTACTTTAAGCTTCTCAGTGATCGCAATTCAAACCAGGCTCTCGATGAAGGCGCCCTTGTGATGGCCATAAGCTTTGATGTGCTGTAGAGATAGTTCACAATAGCACTAACGCTATCCACCGCCGGCACCTTCGCTGCCGTGTTGAATTAGGGGCTGGTTGTTTACATCACGTGGTTTGAGAGCTAGAGCAGCGGGTGTAGTCAAAGCTGTGAAGCAAAAAAGCAATCTGCTATTGCGTTGCAGGAAAATTGGTCTCTGGTGAATTTTATTGCATAGGCCTCGCGACATGTTTTTCTGGCCATTAAAGCAAGGAAAATTCTGGCGAGTTTTGCCGCATTCACTTTCTTCGAGGCCAAGAGTGAACGGGCCTTCCTCCCACAGACAAGTCGTGTTGCGCCGCTGGCATGCAGCGGTCAATGGTACATTCGTATTATCCGTGGTGGCTGGGGAAACTGTTCGTATAAAATGGAATCAAGGCGTATTTTATATAATTTAATCTATCCAAAACAACCTTAAAATTTATGTCGTCGTGAAATTGGCAACAACCATAATTATATCATCGAGATTTTATTGTATTACTGATACGTTTTCATGCAGAGCCGCACTGCAATAAAGCAGGTCCGAGTATTATTCGGTGTTTCATTAGTTTTTTACACCATTTCGTACGCCTGGCATCCAGTGGGCGTACCAATCTTGTGCGTGTGAAAATATTACAAATAGTTCACTACAACTTTTTCCAATGAAGGTTCAGAATCATCACTGGAGTCACATTCTATCGTGTACTGACACAGATAGCATGTATCGAGCGTTTATTTTAGATTTTTGATCTATATATCAATAACATTTTCCCAAGACCATAATCGCAAAATCTAAGAAATCTCGAAGCTCTTAGATAACCGCTTACCTTCACAAGCAGATAAACTTGAAAAACCGCATGTACTGGGAATATGTGAAAACAAGAGATATCAACACGTTTAATGCTTTCAAGTTGTTTAGAAATAACCTCAATGCCAAGCTAAAAACCACGAAACATGAGTATTATCAAGCCTATTTTAACGATGTGGGGAACAATTCTACTTTGTTGATGAAACGACTGAACAACCTTATAAGACAGACTGATGTCACTAACATTGACAGCATGCTTGTGAACGACCGCATTGTGCACAAGGCAGATCTTTCAAATATTCTAAATGGTCATTTTATAGCTGTTGGAGAGCCAAGAAATCGTAACACAATAAGGGTTCCCACTATCCATAACACAGCGAACTTTACGAACAGCATGGTATTTTTTCCCACAACTGAAAATAAAGTTAAACATGTGTTTCTCAGCCTAAAAAATTCAAAGCCACGTGATGTAAATGATGTGCAAATTAGGCCAATTAAATTTGTTATAGACATACTGGCACCTATTTTAGCTGAAATTTATAACTTATGCATAGGACAGAGCTGCTTTCCAAAGGAAATATAAATTGCAAAGGTAGTTTCAATCTACAAAGGTGGAAACAAAAGCGACCTCGACAATTTTAGGCCTATTTTTATTTTACCCGTTTTTTTCAAAGGGCTTGGAAAAATCATGCATAAACAATTATGTAGTTTTTTAGACAAACACTCGCTCATTTCGACAGCACAATAGGGTTTTCTCAAAGGCAGATTAACTGAATTGGCTTTGCTGACGCAAAAGGAATTTATAAGTACTGTGCTTGATGCAAAGGAACAGGTTTTGGGTATATTTTTGGATCTCTCTAAAGCATTTGGCACCATTCATCATATCACACTTTTAGCTAAGCGTGAACAACACGGAATACGCGGTCACGCAAACAAGTTCTTGTCTTCGTATCTTCAAAATAGATCTCAGTACGTTAGCCACAACTATTCAAACTCAAAAATAAGAACTATTCTACATGAAGTACCATAAGGGAGCATTTTATGGCCACTTCTTTTTATTGTTTACATGATTGAGCTTTTTTGACCACTAAATATACTAAATGGATTGCTTATGTAGATGACACTGCGGTTTTCTTTAGGGGCACAAATTCGGACACTCTCACAAATTGTGCGAACACTATACTCCAGAACATAAAAAATTGGTGTGATAGAAACTATTTAAGAATTAATGCTAAAAAAAACACACATGATCTTGTGTCGCCCAAAGCATAAGGCCCTAATTTGACAAGATGGCTGTTTTTAAACAATGAAGAAATTAAAATTTCAAATGAGGTAAAAACACTTGGAGTCATATTTTCTGAAAATTTGCTTTGAAACAAACACGTCGACAGTCCTTGCACAAAGCTAAACGTAATAACGCGATTATTACACAGGCACCGTGATGTTTTGCCAACCATTGTGAAATGTACTGTGTATAACTCTCTATTTCTGTCTACAATAAATTACTGCCACCTAGTTTGGGGTACAACATCAAAGCAAAATATTACTAAGCTAAAACGACGTTAAAAACAAGTCATTCAGGCTGTAGGAAATCTTGCTTCCAAAGAACACATGTTTAAATATATTTACGAATACAAAATCATGCCAGTTGAGTTGATTTACTAATTTCGTCTGGCTTGTGTATGCCGAAATGTTAGCGAAAAGGAAATGTCAGATATATGAATTTGTTTAACCTGCATCGTTACGAAATTCCATATAACACAAGACATGCAGATCTTTGGTTAGCACATTTTTGTCGCACAAACTATGGGCAGCAATCGGTGTCCTATCGTACTGCTGAACTTTTAAACACCTTAAATACACATGGAATAAACCTGGACATGTCTCCTCGCTCCTTATTCACTCATTTGATTTCGCTTGACCCCGCCATGTAATTCTAGCAGAACATCAATATGTGAGCATATACCAAATGCACATTTGCGTTTACACGTTTATTTAGATTCCGTTATGGCCATTATGTTTTCTTTTCCTTATTTGGTTGTGATTGTTCATTGCCACATATTTGTTTTTTCTAAATTATTTTGTGTATATCTTATTGATGTCGTGGTGTAGCGTTGTTATATTTATGGAAAAAAAATTCATTTTGTTTATGCACCCCTACACTATTGTATTTATACTTATGCAAATTGTCTTGGCTTAATGTTAGCATGCCATGTACCTTTATTCAGTGCTGCACACCGTCGAACTGTAACACAAGGGGGCCGGGCATAGTCAAGCTGCAGTAAGGCAGCTTTTTCCCGCAACCCTCTTTCTCCTCGCTGAGATGAAAATAAAGTTTGAAAGTTTGAAAAATGGACGGCGCAGCCCAACTAAACTTGCAAAACTTTGGCCGTTCAATGTGCTACAAAACTCACACAAAGCAGAATAAACTCTTTCTTTTCTTCAATAAAGCTGCCGAATGAATAAAAAAAAAAATGAAGAATTTATACTCAGTGATGAGAAAATGTAGACATGAACTTCTACAGGTGACTTGAAAACAGTATCATTATTCTGTGCAAGCGTACCGCTGTTTGTTCACAGAAGTGGAGACGTTCAAGGGTTTTTATGAAATGCTGAAGTAATGGTAACATTTCGAGTCTATTTTAAGGTAATGCATTGGCTAGCCTCATTCAACTACATTGATATGTTCTGTTCACATATGGGGATGCTGGGATACAAAGGTTCAATCGTTTCTTGTGGCCATCGCTTTCAGAATCATAGCAGAGGAGTTGAGCAGAAGCATACCTGAGGAGAGCGTTGAAATATTCGAGAAGCGTGACGTTGTTGATTATGTTGTCCTCATGGACTGGAAAAGTGCGGTTGTCCCAGAGGACAACCAGGCTCCTTTGAAGGTTCTCAAAGATGCGATATACAAGGTAAGGTTGTCCAAATTGTTCTCATGTCCGAATTCACCGTATGTGCATAGCGTGCTGGTCAGTAATGTTCTGTACTAAACCGAAAAATTCCCATTTAGAGACATGAAAATTCCCTGTTTTGGGGATTTTTTTCTGCAAATATTGATGAAACTTTCAGCACATTTCACTGCACAACTGTACTCATTTTTGCCCCCATCCACGCACATACTTACGATAATTACACATGTCTCACGTACGGACAACTTTTGAAATTAGGACTAGCCTCTCTACTGCCGCACAACAAAAGTATGACTTGATTAATTCATATACTGTTAGTACACCGCACATTGTGGTCTGGAAGTCTAACTTGAATAGTGAACTAGAAATCGCTTCGCGTAAATATTAAAAGCAAATATCAAAGGCTATGCTTGCGTGGTGCATACGCCAGAACCAATGACAGCAGATTAAGGCGCACTGTGACTGCTAGTTATTGGTCGTCATAGGAGAATTTAACCATTCTTGGAATTCCCTGCTATATCACAAAGATTCCTTTTTTCCCTTTGGCTCAAAATGACAGGCGAAAATTTCCCGAAAAAGGAAAAAATTCTGTTCACTGAACATCACTGGTGCTGCTTACTTTGTCACATCTGCATGAAAGTAAATAAGTTACTTTGGCATAGTTGCATGGTAAGGTTTTTTACAATGAAGGCTGTGCTGGCAGTAGGGGTAAATTTGTGTGAAAAATAAAAATTAGTCAAGGCAACAAACAAGTTTCCTTAGCCTCCTTTGCTGTGCAGTCGTTATTTTTCGTGCTAACTTATTTCTTTTACAATACAAGATACTAGCGCAACAATTCATTCTGCTAAAGGGTGCAGTATTTTTTTATCCCTTCCGATTTTTTCTAGTTTGTCATCACAGTTTTGGAGTGAACTGATTTATAGCTTCTACATTTTGTTCCTAAAAACTGAGCATCTTCCCTGTATTTTCTCTGGGCTCTCACTGGGTGAGCATGGTCATAGCTAAATATAGAGCAAAGTCGATCTGCATTGCAATGCCACTGCAGCATCCATGTGTTGAAAAACGGGATGAGAGGAAATGGTGGATACGAACTTGAGATTGCAAGAGACCCCGAAACAGTTTTTATGGTTGTGTAAAATGGTACGGAGTGCTAAGTAATGTGCATGCTAAGAGTCATGAAGGGCCCAATTCAAGTGCTTGGTATAATTAGCGTAAGTTATTGCTATCAGTTAAGCGTGTGCGCTGCTGCAGATTCTTGTTATTGTAAATGTTTCTTTTATGTTGTTTCCTTTTAATTATTATGACATTTCTGACTCTTGCATATTACTGTAGTTTCTTGTGTATAAGCCATTCTGGATATAACCGACACCCCCAACTTTATCCGTACAAAAATAAAAGCAAACATTCATATAATCCGTACATATGACTCACACAGCCACTTTTTGAGCACATTTTGCAGGGTTTTTTTTTTTGTGCAGGTATTGTGCAAGAAAATGCAGTATATATTGCACTGCTTGTTATCTGTTTCATTGCATTGCCGGTTTCACTACATTCAGTGTGGCTATTTCTAGTTCTGCTAATGCATTGTCACTGTGCTTCTTATTTTTCTATTTATTCTAGTCGCAATTGCACTTTCAATGTATTTGCCTCTGTCTTGTATACCCTCACATGAGCACTGCTTCATTATGTGCTATATCTGTTCACTGCACTGCCTCACCTGAGAGTTCAACTCTTGAGTATGAGGCACTCTGAAGAAATAAATTAAATGCATATCAGTGGCACTGTTTCTTCTCTCTTTTTTTTTTTCACCGCCTGTTTTGGCATTCATCACTTTACCGCTGTGCAGTGGTCAACACAAAAAGTGCTCAAGTGTGAGCCTCTGATCCTGACGTGCGGCTCTCTTTTTTTTTCACCGCCTGTTTTGGCATTCATCACTTTACCGCTGTGCAGTGGTCAACACAAAAAGTGCTCAAGTGTGAGCCTCTGATCCTGACGTGCGGCTATGAGGACTGGCTAATGCGTTATCCCATGCACACGACCAATGCCCACACTAAGATCCCAGAGGCAGCGTCGGACCCTTTGGTCAGCAACTATTCAAACAGCACAGGTCAGTGGAGTAAACGCTGCTTTAACACTTTATTTTTTCTGGTGGCTCTTATGGACTTTGCACCGACTTAAGTACAGCGTGGGAATAAAATTGTTTTGCTCTAATTATTGCATTAATCAAGATTTCCTCATGTCTTAATCAAAACATTTGCATTTTGAGCTGCAATACTCAAAGCATACTATCTTCACCTAGGGTGAACTGGTGAGGCCACTAACAGTGGCCGTGCCAAGCAGGGGCGACTGTCTAGTCTGAGGAAAGGGAGGACAAGAAGTGGCAGCAGGCATAATTGAGGGGCTCTAAAAACTGCCTTTGTCCTCGTATTCCCCCTTTGTCATGTTTTCTGTTGATGTTGCCACGGCTACCACTGCCCAAACATCAGGGGTAGCCGAGTATTTAGATAATTTGTTTCTATGAAGGAGGTACGGAGTTCAAATTTCAGTGCCATGGGACAACTGTGATTTCCTTTTCTAATGAGTAAAAAAGTGACGCCTGTCTTCTGGTGTTGCGGAAACTCCATTTTCAAGGGGGTGTTCCTTCCAACTTCTTTTGCTCTCCCTTTCCAACGAAGTGGAGCCTCTCTTTCACTGCATAGTCCCGATACCCTAACTCTGCATGGAAGAGTCGAGGTGTCCTACTCGAGGACCATCCAGTGTTTTTCTCCACTTCTCTTCCCAAGAATTTCACCTCTTCAGCCTTCTTGCTTCCACAGTTAAACAAAGCCTCTCCACGGCATCAGGGCAAGATGCTGGACTGCATACATTGCGACATCTTAGCTCAGAAGGTTGTGAACCTGTGGCAGCGAAAAACATTTTTTCCAATTTTTCACGGTGCTCAAGCAGTCATCATCCTGGTGATCCTACGGCTGTGCGTCGACGGGGGCATGAGACGGGCAGTCAGCATCAGAGAGGTTCCTTCCGTACGTGTAAATGACGGTGACGTCGAATTCTCGAAGTCTAGAGCTCCACCGTGCGATGTGACCCGAAGGGTCTTTCAAGTTAGCTAGCCAACTCAAGGTGTGGTGGTCGCTCACAACTCTGAAGGGACAGCCATAAAGGTAGGTGCAAAACTTTGATAAGGTCCAGATGGTGGCAAGGCACTCCTTTTTTGTTGTTGAATAGTTGGCTTCCGCCTTTGATAGCGACCAGCTAGCAAAACTGATCACTTTTGCAGCCCGTCAGTCTTGTGCACTAGAACAGCGCTGAGTTCTACATTGCTTGCGTTAGCATGCACTTATGTTTCGGCATATTAGTCAAAATGCAGAGGTAAGAAAGGTATCTGCAGGCGTTCTTGAAGTGCCTCCTCCTGTGGTGTTCCCCCCCTGAACTTGACGTCGATTTTGGTAAGGTTAGTGAGTGGCTCGGCAAAGCAAGCGAAGTTTTTCATGAACCCCCTGTAGTAGGCGCACAGGCCAAGAGACCGATGCACGGCCTTCTTGTCGGTGGCAGAAATGTAGCGATGGTATGTGCCTTCTGCGGATTGGGGCGTTCTCCAGACTTGCTTATCACATGGCCTAAGAACAAGAGTTGCTCGTTCGTGAAGTGGCACTTTTCTGGCTTCAGGGTGAGTCTTGATTGTTTGAGGTGCAGCTTCAAGGCGCTGGAAGCATTCATCTAAGTTTGAGGAAAAAACAGCATCGTCCTCTAAGTATACAATGCATGTCTGCCACTTTAAGTCGGCCAGTGCAGTATGCATAATGCATAGAAAAGTCGCGGGGGCCGAGCAAAGACCAAAAGGCATGACATTGAACTTGAAGAGGCTCTCTGTTATTGTAAAGGCAGTCTTCTCTCAGTATCACCTGCTAACTTCAATTTGCCAATAGCCAGCCAGTCTTGAGGTCTATTGACGAAAAGTACTTTGCGTTGTGCAATCGATCGATAGTGTGGTCTCCATGGGAGAGGATGCATGTCCTTCTTCGTTATTTTGAAGCGTATGGTTCCATCCTTCTTTGCTAGCACCATGTGTGACGCTCTCAGACGTTAGATGAATGGATGATGTTGCATACCATTTTATCGACTTGTTTCCTTATGACCTCACGTTTTCAAGTCGAAGCCCTGACAAAGTGGTCTGGTACTCTCCTTTTTTTATGATGCAACATTTTCGTAATGGTGTCTGCTGAATTTTCAACGCCGACTAAAAGCAGTTTTCATATTGTTGGAGCTGGCTTTCAAGCTGTTCTTGCTGATGCTTTGGAAGTCTTGCGTTGACGTTGAAATTTCCTTGGGGACCTCAATATGTCAAAGGAGGTTCGGTAGATTCGGCGTGGCTGATAGCGTATTGTAACGCAGCGCATGACCATGCGGACGCTAGAGAAGAAGAGACAAACTGCAGTGCAGTCTATTCTTTTGTGTCCGTGTGGCCGTGTGCTTTGTTAAAATGTGTTCAAGTACTGTCACTAACTGGCCCAGCTTTCAGTCCTTCTATGGTGATAGCGTTGCTGGCTTCCAAAAATTCTTTGACGTAGGTGACCGTCGTGCCTTTACTCACGTGCTTGTACTCGTTGCTGAAGTTCGTGACATCACTGTTGCTTTTCCTTTTCGTAGCCTCTTGCGACGCAAATGTATCGGTCTATCAACGAGTGCTGGTCGCCTTCAATGAATCCTTGCAGGCATGTTGATTTCTGAGAGCTGACGAAAATGCTGATGCTGGAGCAAGGGAGAATGGTGATTTGGTGTTCCATCACATTTAAAGCCTCTTTTCCTGGCGGCGTGTGCGATGGTAGGGATTTTTCTGTTGATAGCGTTATTGACTTGGATCTCAGATCGATGACTGCACCATGAAGGCCTAAGAAGTTTATATCAAGGATCACATCTCTCGAGCACTTCTGTAGTACTACAAAGCTTGCGAAACACATCTCGTTGTTAACGCAGACTCTCACTGTGCAGATTCCCTCCTGCGTTACTAGGTGGCCTCCAGCTGTTCGGATTTCGGGGCCCTTCCAGGCGTGCTTGACTGTTTTTAACTTCGCCGTGAACGGTCCACTGATGACAGAATAGTTGGCTGTGGTGTCGACGAGAGCTATCTCGCTGTGACCATCAATAAGAACTTCAAAATCGGTAGTTCGTCGTCTCGCAATGTAGTTGGCTCGTGGCATCGGGTCATGACTTTGTCGATTCATTGCACTGCTTCATGTTGCATCGTCAGGTCTTGTCTGCGAGGTTTCGTCGTAAGGACTCTATCTGCTTCGCGTCCGGTTCTGCAGGCGTCATTGTGGTGTTGTCGGAGGATCTTCGGCATTTCGTCATACAGCAACCGCACCTTCATCAGCTGCTGTTTTTAGTTTTCCAGATACGGGCCAGGGTACTAGGCCGTGGTTGGGCCAGTGTAGGGCCGGCGGTGCGGCGAGATTCAGCAGCCGGGTGACAGTGAAGTGTACGACATCGTTGTTGTGACTGTGCTCCAGTGATGTAGTCGTTAATGTCGCGAGGTCATTCACTGGGCTGAAGACCCAACGTGTTAATGGTGAGACTGTGTAGCCCCATTTATTGGTATACATGGGTCGCATGGACGGATGAGAGGACCGAAAGCCTCCACATTTAAGATCTCAGGTCATGCAGTTGAAAGCTTTGCTGCGGCGAGATGTCTTCTTTGGATGTGCTACCTTACCTGTAGAGAACCGAAGATCATGTTTGCGAAGCGACAACAACATCGCGCCTGGCCCTGGCGGCAAGCTCCGGAGAACTTGAGAATAGGCACAGCAGAGGGCTCAGACGATTCACTGTGTTTTGCCAAAGCGAGAGCACGTGTTACATGCGCAGAACGCTTTCTGCAGACGGTGCGAGGCACTTCAGCGCCGTGCTGACAGCTTGGCTCGCAAAAAACGAGACGCTCGCTGTGCAAAATTGCATTTCCGCGATGGCAGAGGCGACGCCACGGAAGCGTCAACTAGGTACAAAGTATTGTTTTGTCGTGGGCTGCCACAATAATGCAGACAACACCAAGGGATGCTTTCCACGTGTAAAGCTGTATCGGTTTGCCCCAACTCTGGGCTGACTGGAGCATTAACTGACTTCATTTTTTTATGTGGATGCACACTGCGACTGCATGCTTGCACTGTGCTTTAATGCTGGCTTTGCAGCTGCATATGCCTCCTTAAATACCAAGATCCTGCTTCTCCTAGCATGACCATGCCAAATATTGGAAAAAAAAAAACTGGATGGCCAGTTGCCACTGTTTTTCACTTGCAGATGCCTTTTCAAGCTTGCCTTTGTATATTCAGCAGCGTGCTACATGATGGCGCTCGTTTCAAAGCTAACCCCAGGTTTGCACCTCTGCTAAAATGTTTCAGGAGCGTGTACAAAGTGAAAATTAAGGTGACAGAACATGCCTGAAAGATAATTACAATCCGCACAGTGCCTCGAGATCACGTTAACGTGCTCGCCGATTGGGTGTCGCATGACCGATACCACACCTTGCCTGTCATTCGGCGCCACCCATATTGAGCCGCATTCGCGAAAAATAGAGCAAGCATGACACAAGAGCCGGGAAAAAAAGGAGCCGAGCACTTCAACTTGGCTCTAAAACTTCTCGGACATTTCAATGCCATAACCGCATAAGTTTTGTTTTTATTTATTTTTTCAGCACGCCATAAACATTTGTGCATGAAAGTACAGGCTGCTACCGTTAGATACCAAATCAAAACAATCATTATATGATTTTTGTAAACGTCAACGCAGCACGTTGATAAAATATGCGGCTTCATGTCGACCGAGTGATATTAACTTCAAGGCATACGTCGAACACGGTATGGTCCCGTACCTGAGAAATACATTTCGCTCTGACTCGGCTCTCCTCCTCTTCTATCGCCTGCTCCACATTATAAGTGTGACTAATGACCTTTTCTCCTTTTGTTAAATTCACTTTTCGGAAGTGCTTGTCTAGCTCAGAGGTCTTTTTAAAGCCGCACTGCAGGCATTGTGAGGCGACTCAAACGCACCACGCGGGCTCTGCACAAGCAGGTAAGCGAGCGACAAAACATGGCCGGAAGGGAAAACGCACGATAGACATCCCCGGTTTCTACTTTTCTACCAAAGATGGCGCTGTCTGTCCAAAGTCGCAGCGCCATCATGCGCTTCTTTGGCTTCCTATTTGCGTTATTTTTGGATTCAGAACGAGAATTGGAACGTCTGCTTTGAAAGGCAAGGCACAATCAGGCGTTTTTCGAAGATTATTTATTTATTTATTTATTTATTTATTTATTGTACCCTCAGGGCATACAGCATTATAGAGGGGAGTGGGTTTAGAAGACAAAAAATACAAGTGAAACGTGAAAAACAAATCACATTCAGTACATGCGTACAACACTCGAGAACAATGTGTAAATGGCAACGCTTACACAATATCTAACAAGGAATCAAACAAGGAATCAAACAAGGAATCAAAAAATCAAACAAGGAAGCACCGCGACAAAAAAAAGACAAAAAAATACCATAATGACGATGTAACACACAAAGAAAGTACAAAAATATATTACAACATGGCACAACGAATCTGCGATACACAAATGAACGGTAACCGAACATCAGCAAACAAAACCAGGGAAAAAAATGCGTTGAGCACATCAATGCATAAAATTTTCGAGTGCTGCCCGAAAGCGTTCGTGATTAGTAATCGTGACTAGTGACGCAGGCAGGTTGTTCTAATCATGGCATGTTTTTGGTAAAAAAGAATGGGAGTATGTTACGGTGTTTTGGCGCGGAATATGAACCTTGTAATGATGGTCGAGGCGTTCAGATAGGAAAAAAGGAGGGTTTAGCCAACGTGATTTAAGTATGGGGTTATGGTGATACGCTTTATGCAGCACACAAAGGCGAGCAAGTTTCCGGCGAGTAGCAAGAGTAGCAAGGTCAAGGCTGGATTTCATGTTTAGTAACACTGGAAGTGCGGTGATAGTTGGAAAGTATGAACCTCACGGAGCGGTTTCGCACAGCCTCAATTTTATTAGATAGTGTTACATAGCCAGGGTCCCAAACTGAGGAAGCATATTCAAGCCTAGGGCGCACGTAGGTTATATATAGCTGCTTTTTTAAGGAAGACGGGGACAGCGAGAAATTTCTTTTCAAGTAGCCTAGCATGCGGTTTGCATTAGATGTTACATATTCAATTTGGCGCGACCAGGATAGGTTATTGGTTATGTGCACACCGAGATATTTGTAAGATTCAACTGACTCTAGTAAGGTATCTTTAAGAAAGTAATCAGGGCTAGGTAGTTTGTTACGCGAAATTCTCATTGATTTACATTTAGAAACGTTAAGATCCATGTGTCAGAGGTTACACCAGGAAATAATGTTGTTAAGGTCGGATTGTAGACAGGCAATATCAGTATCATTAGTAATTTTACGGTAAAGCACACAGTCATCAGCAAAAAGGCAAACTGGAGAACAAATGTTAGAAGGCAGGTCGTTAATGTATATTAGAAACAGTAAAGGCCCCAGCACAGAACCCTGAGGTACTCCTGAATGTACCGCCACCTCGGGAGAGTCAGTTTCGTTAATGGATACAAACTGCGTGCGGTTAGCAAGAAAGATTCGGATAAACTGTAGTACTTGTGGATCAATTTTCAAATGGCTGAGTTTATGTAATAGTAGCTGGTGATTTACTTTATCGAATGCTTTTGCGAAATCTAAAAATATGCAGTCAGTCACAAAACCTGAATCAAGATATACATGCAGATCGTTAGTAAACGTGACTAGTTGTGTTTCACACGAAAATAATTTCCGGAAACTGTGATTAAGCCGTACCAACAATCTCGAACCCATACACTTTTAAAGTTGAAATATTTAGCTTGCCCTCAATTATAATCAATCATTACGCACGAACAAGGACGTCAGGAAAGTGTCATAGCTCTTGACTGGTGCACATTAAAGGAACGCATTCGTGTTTGTAGTCGTCACTTCATCACAGGTAAAGGTATTTTTGAGATGTGACCAGGTAACACATTTAATTACTGACATGATTATGTCGCTTCCCCTGAATTCTCCCCAGATATTTACAGCGCCTTACAGCCAAGCATTTATTCTTGAATAAATGTGTCTCAAGTTGGTCAGTTTGGCGTAACGGTGCAACTTATGTGAAGGTGCTCTCTCTTTAAAGAAAACCTGTGAATTTAATGAACAACACGAACCCAGACTGGGCATCGAGCCTACTGCTGGGCCACGGTTGTTATGACTGAACTACTGCCACTGTATCTGCACGTTTTCACCGCTGTAAAAAAGCGATGAAAAAATGAACTGGATGCCATTGTGGCCGGCACACCGTCCACTGAGCCTGAAAAAGGGTGCAAAAGGAGCATTTGCTCCTCCCCAACAACACCCTCCCCCTCCCCCCAATTGCACTGCAACGCTGGTTTGCACCCATCAAGACGAAATCTTTGCGGCACCAATGCATGTAAACAAAGACGAACTAACAAGCTTCTGCTGTAATCTGAAACAGCATCACTAACTTCGCTTGCCACGATGACGCTCCGCAATAGAACCTGCTTTCCTGCTACGCTCTTCTTCCAACCGCTGCTGAAGTAGTGGTGGTCGTCCAGTGACTAGTAACTCACATTTGTTGCAGCGTGACGTGACTTGTTGAAAGTGCCAAATAATTGTGGGTCACGGCGGCTAGCAGATCAACGTTCGGTTGTTGCAGCGTGACGTGACTTGTTGAAAGTGCCGAATAATTGTAGGTCACGGCGGCTAGCAGATCAACGTTCGGGGCAACGTATTGGCCGATGCACAGAATGTCAGGGCCGATGCGAGTGTCATACCTTAGTCGGCCCCACAAGCTCTTAAAAGTACAGCCGTCAAAGCACGTGTACGTTTTCTTTCACTTTGTTGCATAAAATAAACCGATCGACGCCGACAAGCTCCGATGCGGCGGCAAGTGGCATTCACAGCCCAACTTAATGTTCTTAAATATGGCAGTTGCTCTGTCAAGTTTGGCTAAAAACAAGTCACTTGACATTGGAGCAATACATGCCCCGATACATGACCTGAGCTAGCAGCTCTTTAGAATTTTTATCCTTTTATTTGAGAGCCACTTTTATCCGATGGCACGAGAAGCCCTATCTTCTAAAGGAGGGCATATGTATCAGTTCATGTATTGCTCCAATTTTAAGGGACTTGTTTTTAGCCAAACTTGACAAAATCGTTTCAGGTGATCTTTGTGACAACCGAATCTTGCGCATTTTTAGATTTGTTGACGACTTACTCATTCTTCTTGACTGTGGCCCTAGATATCCTCAACTTCATCAAGGAGCGGTTGAAACCCTTTGTCTAAACTCGTGAGTTGCCAGTAAATAGCACTCTCAGGTTTTTAGATAAGATGTAGCTCTCATTTTTTATGAAGACCACGCCTGTTGGACGTACAAGCCAAGGAGCAATAAGCCCCTACTTTCGTACCACTCTGCCTACACAAAACTCATAAAAAGAGGCATTGTAGACTTGTGCTTTAGCAATGCTTTACAGACGTCTTGTCCACATCTAATGGCTGCTAGTTTTAAAGAGAAAACAGTGTGACTTTCGAATGCTGGCTACCCCTTCCACATATGAGTTTCTATCGCGGAAAAATTAATCAAGAAACTGCAGCCCTCGGAACAAGCTCTCCCCCAAGTTGACCCGTTAAGACCTCAGAAGGTTGCTGTAGTTCCTTATCTACATGGAATCTCCCACAACTTAAGGTTGGGGAGCGGGCCAATGTAAAGGTGGCTTTCTCTGCCCCTAAATAGTTGTCTTACCTGTGTGTGAAGGTTGTTCTAAAGGACACGAAATCCTGTTTGTCACGTGTACTGAAAATCTAATTTATCAGATACCTCTTTCATGCAGCAAGCACTATATAAAACAAACTGCCCGCTGTATTAGTAACCGGCTCCGTGAACATGCGTGCAACGTCAGGAATAGTCGCGATGGTTTTTTGGCGCAGCACTGCAGCATGTGTGGTTGCAAGCCACTTTTTTATGATACTGTCATTGTTGGTAGAAACAGAAATAAAATGATAAGGCAGATTATCGAGGCAGAGAAGATTAGTAGATTTGGGCTGAACTGTGTCAGCACTCCCTCTCTTGGGCTTTGTCAAGAAGAATTGTCCTTCCTAAGATTGTAAATTCTTGCGCATGGCATTTATGGGTTTTGAAAACTGTCTTTTCTGTTTTTTTGTATTTAGTGAGTATATATATGTACGCTCATTGAAATAAAATTTTGTTGAAAGTTAGCACTCCTTTTTGTCTCTTCCCTTGTCTTGTGTCTTAGTTTTTACGTGCTACATTTTTATTAACTATTAGTTTTAAATGAAGCACTCGCACGGTGAACTGTGATGCTTCTCAACTGGTATAGAGAGGTCTGTGCTAAAGGCACATATAGCAAAAAAGCAGTTGACATTTTACAATTTCTTTAAAAGATATAACCAGCAGTAAATGGCCAATAAACTTGAGGACCCAACACCTCCGCCTTTTTATTCATTGTGTGCAGTTAAGGTTTAAAGATGGTCAAGAAAATTTTAAATGGGACAAAATCAATGCTTAATCATAATGCGTAGTGTCACCTAGCCCAGATTAATATATCTGAGTACTTCTAATAATTCAAACTTCTTGATAATTCAAACGAAATTTTGAGGCCCCCTCGAGTTTGAATTAACGAGAGTTGACTGTATTTTGAAAATGATTTTCGTTAGAAGAATATTTTTTTTTGGAAGTAGTTAGATGTTGCTGTTTCCCACAGAAGGTAGCAGCAGTGGTTTCTGTTATTTGGAGCTGTATGCTGCAAACTGCTACATATTCTTCTTTAGTGGGGAGAACTGGGCTATTTGGTTATTACTTTGTTAGTTTCGCTTTTTTACTAGTTCTTCATTGTGTACATAAAAGCATTTAAGCATTTTTTTTGCATAAAAGTAAGAAATTTATCAGTGGTGCATTTCTCAGCTGTTCATTTAGTATTTTTCTGCCCATGTCGCAGAGGCCGTCTACTTTCCTGACCCAGACAACCTTTTTCAAGAGGGTGCAAGGAACTTGTCTCAACCAGGCAAGCCGTCTGTCCCAGCCTCCAACACAGCTTCTGTGACGATGCCGCTTGTGGATCGTAGCAAAAAACCCAGCCTCTTGAACGGGCCTGTGCCAAACAGCACAGGCCTAAATAAGGTTAATGGTGGCAGTTTCAATGTACCAGACCCCAAAGGAATTGAAGATGGTGTGTTCCACCAGGTAAGAAGCATATTTGTCCTAGGTAATGCTCAGCACTTGCAGAGTTGCCAGGCCTCAAGCTTAATAAGCAGTTTGAAGTGTAGAAAAAAAGAAAAGTGACCTCGTTCAAGCTCAGTTGACATTAGGTGCCGCCTTCATTACTGTAGCTTCCAGACGGGTTCCAGGATAGTAGTGCTGCAGTTTTGTGTAGCAGAGCATGTAGCATGCATGATATCATTTATTCTTGCAAGAGTCTTTGTAGACCCTCTAATGGCCTACTGTAGCAAGAGTTCCTGCTGTTTGAAAAAGGTTAGTTTCGAACATATATGGTAGCCTATTTGTGGACACTGCTGTGTGTGCTACAGTGCGAGCTGTTCGTTCACTTGGTCAACAAATTTTAAGATGCGGCGATCGTGTGATATAAAGAGCAAAAGTATGATGATAATGTACAAAAATAGGTTTTGAGATACATAATTGCATGTAAAGTGGAAAATATGCTTTATTTCAAAAAAGTACCACAAGGTAACCGCCAATTGAAGGACATTATTAATAGGCACCAGCCATATACTCATCACCAATATCACTTTTTATTTTTTAGTTGAGCGTCTGGCCCTGTCAGTTGAGCTCTGTCAGCAAAGTGCTGTTGACGCAGGTAAAGTGTGCATAGGCACTGCACTGTGTAGCGACCTGTTCAAATTCCAAACGAGTTCAGCACATTCACCTGAGCAATATGCCCCGCCGTGGTGGTCTAGTGGCTAAGGTACTCGGTTGCTGACCCGCATGTCGCGAGATCGAATCCCGGCTGCGGCGGCTGCATTTCCGATGGAGGCGGAAATGTTGTAGGCCCGTGCGCTCAGATTTGGGTGCACGCTAAAGAACCCCAGGTGGTCGAAATTTCCGGAGCCCTCCACTATGGCATCTCTCATAATCATATGGTGGTTTTGGGACGTTAAACCCCACAAATCAATCAATCAATCACCCGAGCAATATTGCCATTATTAAAGGTGATTACAGCGTCAAGACTGCATATTTTCAGTAGTAGGTGTCGGAGAAACACGTTTTTTTCGGAGTGCTCCAGCACACACTTGTTGAATGACTCGTTGTTGTTTTGAGTTTTCCCATGGAGGCATCTCGCAAGTAATTCGGGATCAGCAAGTTGCTCACAAATTGGGGTAACAGCCAAAGAACAGAGGCCGAAAAGTGTTCTTTGTGAAAATATGATTCACCACAGAACTGGGCTTTGTTGAATTTGCACCAGGTGTCAGCGTCCTTTGGGCAAAGGCTGTGGGATGGATTGAGATTCGTCAATGCCATGTAAAAATATGGTGCCCAGACAGCCTTTCCCATGTCCTCTAAGCTGCTTATATTTCTTATAATTGCTAAACCATAATACTTTTAGAACACTGCGAAAACATACAAAAAAACTCCCACAAGATGCATTTACCTGCAGCTAAACAATTACTCGGCAGATGAACCACTTGTTGCCAGTCCAAATATCATTCCCACTAAACTTGTAAAAAAATTAGTGCCCTTTATTTCGGCACGTTTTTAACCAGTGATGTTTTGTACTACGACGAAGAATTCTCATTCAGAGACATGAAAATTCTCTATTTTGGGGATTGTTCCTTGCAAGCATGGACGAAATTCCCAGCATATTTCCATGCACAACAGTACTGATTTCCATCCCCATCCACGCACACACATGTTATAATTAACGCGTTTCTGACATACTGGCGACCTTTGAAATTATGACTAGCCCCTCCTCTGCCACACAACAAAAACATGGCTTTATCAATTCATATACTATCAGTACACTGCACATTGTGGGCTTCAACTCTCAGACTAATCGTGAACTAAAAATCACATTGTGTAAATATCAGAAACAAATCTCAAACTCTATATGCTTGCGTGGTGCATGCGCCAGAATTGGTTACAGCCGATGAAGGCGCACTTGGACTGCTAATTATCGGTCGCCATAAGAGAGTTTAACCATTCTGGAAATTCCTTGCACTATCTCTAAGATTCTTTTTTTCCCTGTGGCTCAAAATGACTGGCGAAAATTCCCCGAAAAGGGAAAATTCTCTGCACGAAACATCACTCTATTCAGCTGCCCACGTGTGCACTCAGGTAAAGTGTACCTAAGGGGACTGAAGCAGGCGGCTGCATAGGTTTTGAAATATGTGGTTTTGAGACCGAAAAAAGTCGCGCTAGAGCAAACAAGAGACTGATTCTGGTTCAGAAAAAGCTGCAGATCTCAAATTTTGCAAAAAAAAGGAAACAATTTTTTTTCAATATTTTTGCTTACCCTGTCCACTTAATTAATGGTAAAATGTGCATTTGGTAATTTTGTCTGCCATGTTGAGAATGGGACTTGTTTGTTTGTCATAATGAAGGCATTTTGATGTAGCATAGATATAGTTTGGTGCCACTTTACTTTACAAGCTTTTCGTCTTGAAAGGCTCACGTCCTTAAAAGTAATGTCGTAAGCTGGGTGGCTGTCGATCAGAGGTACCACGTTTTGGAGAACGTTGCCTTTTCCCGCTCTCAGAGAACAATATGGAGGGAAATAAAATAAATATGCCAATCATCGGAAAAGCCGAAATGTCTTAAAAATTTTTGTGACTTTTACTTTGCTCGGATTTTTTTTTTATTCTACTATGTTTGTCCCCATCCAAACGAGATTCTGTTGAACTCTTCACAACAGCTGGAGGCATGAGTGACACCATTTCTCTAGCAGAGGCTGCCACTCTTTTGGTACAGGCTTTTTAAGATGAGTCCGACTACACTACATAAAGGAAGTTGAAAAACAGGGCTCTTGTACACATCATTAATAGTGGCTTTGTGTGCATGTCTCTGTAATTTTCTTGCTTGTCAAAATGTTGTTGAATCTTACAAGTGGTTGATGAGGATGGTGTGTGTTCAGTGAATGTAGTGAGTTTAAATATGATTAAATATTGCTTACAGTAAAATAAATGTTTTTTGTCAATTCGAACGAATCTTGGGAGACCATATCAGCATGTCTGTATGTTTGTCATACAACACGGGAACTTTTCACATGATTCAAGTGTGTTTATTTGGCTTGTGCTAGAATAAGCATTAACTCAGTCTTGAACAGTAAAACAAGCGTGACCAACAGAATAGCTAGCAAGTGTATGGTTTTATCTGTTAAATGCTGTACACTCCATGTTCTTGACTTGTAGGTTGATTCTGCATCAAAGCCCGTGCCCGGCGGCCCATTTGGTGGTCTCAGCCAGGATTCCAATTCCGGGGAGTCTGAGGCCAGGTCTCTCGATAGAATCCGTCAAACAGAGAACCTGAAGCAGAAGATTCTTGACCTCACAAAGGTATCATCGTAGTACTGAAGTCCCACCAGTGCCCTTGGTTTCACCTTGTAAAACTGCGTGTTGAGCATTCATTCGACTATGATGGCGTATGTGAGAGGCCACAATTTAAAAGGCTTTCTACTTTTCAAAACTCCTATTTTTATATTTTAACAGCAAAGCTGCTCTAGGTCAACAAAATACCATGACCTAAAGTTATTGTCGTCATGTCGCAGAAATTGAGCAACAGAAGGGTAGCATATAGCAAGAGGGTGAGAGAAAAAAAAAGAAAAATCTTGGCTGAAAAGTTTCTCATGAGGCGGTGGGAATGAACTTGCGTATCCATGATTTGAAGGCGAACGTCTCAATCTCTCGGCTATCCAGGCATGCTGATAGATTATGGCATAGCCTCGTATATTATCGTATTGCTAGGAAAGGGGAGCGAGTGTGAGGAGGAGAGAAAAAAACGGGAGAGTAGAGCATAGCGTATCAAAAATGAGGGGGTCAAAGAAAAAGAAGCGAGACAAAATGAAAGCAAAAGAAGGGTAGCAAGAGAAGAAAACTATAAAGAAAGAAAGAGTGAAAAAAAAGAAATATAAGTAAATAAAATTCAGGAAGCTAGCACTAAGTCACACTAAGCTTGACTCAGAGAATATCGTCCATCTCCAGCCTACTTACAACATGACAAAACTCAGCAAGAACAAGTCCCCACATAATAGCAGCCGGCGTTATTCTAAAGACTGGTGGATCGACGAGCTTGGCTGTGACAAGCCTTGTGCAACTTAGCCCAAACTTCCCACATTGTTTTTTTTTTCTCTCTCTCTTATGCAGTAGCAAACGCGGTCTCTGCATTCTCTGTCTGACAGAGTACCGTAATTACTCGAATCTAACGCGCATTTTTTTTTTTTCGATTAATCGAGTTCATAAATCGCATGCGCGTTAAAATCGAGTGCGAAAAAAAAAAATGAATACGGTCATTATATTGCCATCGGCATTTCCAAAACAGCCGCCCCCTACGTGCTTCGGCATGGCGCGTCGGCCATTTCTGCCTATGTGTTTCCCATGTGCGGCACTTCGTACGTGTGCTGAGGAGTTCGTCATCTTGTTGTTCATTAGCATCGACGGCATGGAAGGGCCGACTCCAGAAACTCGACGAGTGCACCACGTTGCCGCTTTTAAAAGAAAAGTCATCGCATGTGCTGAAACAGACGGAAATCGGGCCGTATCGCGGTCGTTCGGAGTTCCCGAAACGTGCGTGTAGGACTGGCGAAACAAAAGCAGAATATTGTCGACAGCAAACATTCACGCAAAGGCTTCAGTGGACCACAGCAGGGTCGGTTTTCACAAATTGAAGAGCTGCTCGCCGAGTATGTGCTTGAGCAGCGAGCGGCACAGCGGCCCGTGACGACAGAACTGCTCTAAGTGCGGGCTATGCAGTTAGCTTTAAAGAAAGGGCTAACGCGAAGCCAGTTCAAAGCGAGCAGGTGCTGGCTAACTAACTTTATGAAAAGGAAAGGCCTTTCCCTCCGAAAGCGAACGGGAATGCGCCAAAACTTGCCGGAGGAGTACGAAGAAAAGCTTCACAGTTTTCAGAGGTTCGTCCTAAACTTGCGGCACAACAACGGCTACCTGCTTCGGCAAATCGGGAATGCCGATCAGACGCCTCTTTACTTCGATATGCCTGGCACCACAACCGTCGAGAAGAAGAGGTCGAAGCAAGTTCGCATGCTGACATCGGGCCACGGTAAAACAAGAGTGACGGCAATGTTCCGTTGCACGTCAGATAGGCACAAGCTTCCCCCGTACCTCATATTTAAACGGAAGACGCTCCCGAAAGGAGTCGTTTTCTCAAGTAGTGTGATTGTGCGGGCCAACGAGAAAAATGGGTGCGAGCTGCAATCGATGTCTTACTTTTTTTTTTCGTTGTGAAAACCGAGTGCGCGTTACAATCTGGGGCGCGGTAGAATCGAGTAAATACGGTAATGCCTCCAGCATTTGTGTAAGTGGAGTAGTCGCACCAGTCATATTCCACCCGGTGCTGAGGCGGATACAGGATTCTTTTGAAGGCTTAGTATATGGAAGATGTGATACCTAAAGCTTAACGTTCCCATTAATGCCCGTGTTCCACATATACATTAGAAAATAAAAGAGGTGTGAGGGTCAGTTCATCTGGATCTACCCATTACCTGGTGTTGGAGAATTACACATGCATAATATTGTGCGGGTGCATAGCTTACTGCATAAATTGTGCCATAGAATCTGGAGCTTATGCCAACCCAAGTGTAATTGGCATTATTGCTTGCAAACCAAAGTGAGGTAAGAACCGTAAAAAAGAAGGAAAGGTAATCAGCATCCTGACAAGGCGAGAGCCTTTAGTTTGAAGCTGAGCTAGCTCCATCGCAGGAGTGCATAAATGCTTTTAACCTGCACAATAAGGGCTTTGAATGTGTTGCACTTTAGGAACTTGGCTTGTCGTCCTTCCATACATCTCATGCGGCATGATCACGCTCAAAGTCAACTGGTCAATACCATAGAATTTCCTGAAATTAACTAGGGGGGATTCTGGGAGTGCGATTGTTCAGTGACCACAGTAATGATGTATAGCACATGGATTTGGCAAGTCTTCATTCTTATGGGCTTCAAACACACTTGGCGGGGCCCAAGGCTGAGCCCAAGGTTGTAAAAACAGCACAAAAATATAGACAAAAATTGAAGAAGAGACAACAAGACGCTGAACTTGCAGTTAAAATTTATTGGAAGGAACACACGTATATATCAAGCTAAGAACTTGGTGACATGGCACATCCAAGCACGACCACCAGCCAGCCCAACTTTCAGTTCCACAGTTAAACCTGCTTATAACGAACCTCCATATAACGAATTTCTTGATATAACAAAGTTTTTCTATTCCCCACCGTTGCTCTATAGAAGCGCATGTATTTGCGACCTCTATGTAACAAAGTAACAGTGGGAGACAACCTTGATATTATGAATTTTCCCCATGGACAATCTAAAAATTTTGCTTCACATTTTGTTATGAGCATGCATCTTCCGCGGCCGCCCCGCCGTCAACGAAGCATGAAGGAGCGCACACAGCGCACCAGGCGAAAGGAAGCGCTCGTTATTGCGCAAGGTGGGCAAGCGGGCGGGCGGGCGAGTTTGCATTTTACGAACTAGCGTTGCTGCCGTTCTCGCTGCCGCCGGCGCATGCGCAAGTGTGCCCCCCCCCCCCCCCCCACTCCTAACAAAAAAGAAAAGAAAGAAAACTACTTTAGCGTGTTGGCAGTGCCACGCTTTAGTCAACGCCACATATGTGAGGCCGCGCAGCATATGGAGGGTGCTTTACCGAATAGTTTTACGCAGTATGTGTGTATGTGTCCGTGTCGTTCACTCTTCGTTATCGACGCCGTGCGTGCGTGTATAGTTTCACTGCCCGTGCATGGTGTGGCCCCTGACGATGTTCAGCTTTGCTTTTTTTTTATTGCCATAGCATTTGTGCGGAGAGTCCCGGCTGGTTTATGGTCGTCGTGGCCGCAGCCGTCATTCACCGTATACACACGTATCCAATATGAAAACTCAAGAAAAAAAAAAAAGCCTCCCGCGCGGCACTTAGCTCGTCACAATGCGACGCACCCTTATCTTCCACGCGTACTGTGCCCCCCGAATAGAGGGGAGAGGGGGAGGTTAGATGCGTGCGCGGGCGTTTATCCTTCGGTGGGAAAAATGATGCCTTCGACTTTGCCCAGAACGATTGCGTTTAGTTGCCGGGCGCACAAAGATTACTTCGCTCGCTGGACAGGCGCCGTCTGCCAAAAGAGTGCGCTTTTCAAAAACAGTGAAGCAACAACTGGGGCACTTGTTAGTTAGCACTCATATTTGTACCTGTGATTACGTTGTCGTGCCTCGTTTTTGTTTAAACAGCACGGTATGTGTCGAGCGGTTAACGTTGTAAGTTTGCTCTCGTCCTGTAAATTGTTCTTGTGCGTCATTTGTGCATGAGCAACATGTTGCACGTTTTGATCTACTTGCCGTTCTTAACGTTACATTCAAAGTTGTTGCTATTGCAGTAATTAATTGCTTCGCCCTTGCGGCAAAACTGTGACTTTTCTTAGTTTCGGACGTCTGTGTCGTCGTCACCGAGGGGATGTCAGATGAAGCGTTGATGGAAACTCTCCGAGACCACGGATGGTGACGATGGCTCTTTGGAGGTCGATTCATCACACGCTTCTGTGTTGCGCTGCGCCCCAAGTTGGCTGGCTGGTAGCTTTCGCGATTAGCTGATTAGTTCTGGCAACAACAGGGCGTCGAGTTCAATGCAATGCAATGAACGTGATAGCAAAAAATTGTAATGGTATATGAAGTAAGGCTGCAGTCAACTCTTTTGGATCGGATATCGCGGAACTTTTACAAAATGCTGGTGTAAGCAAATACGAACTCTCCAGAGAAAAGTACTCTTTTCACACAGTCACTTCGCGTTGAAACCGCACTGATATTCGCCGAGATAGCAAGTGTGCCAGCGATCGCGACAGTCCTTAAAATCCAAGTTCATTAATGTTACATACTCGATCGATTCCCCTGCCCACCCCGTGTTGTTTCATGCTTGTTCAAGACGGGTGATTTACTCTCTGTTTGAGCGTTTGACGGCAGTTCTAACAGACGGGAGATGTTATCTTATCCACTTTCCAAGTGATAGGAATGGGCTGACTGATTTAATCTCTGCTTCAGCAGTGCTCACGCGCTTTTACCCGCTCGTGAAAGTTACAATGCCCAAGGGCATCTTATTAATTTGGACTTGTTACGGAACATGACGACGACGGAAAAAACTCACCGAGTGTGTCCACGTAATTGCTATCGCAAAAATAACGCAGTTTTTTGTTTTACTGTAAAATAAGTGTTTTGGTTTAGCTCTCTTTCAGTACCCCTCTTGTTTAATTTGTGCATTTATCTTCCAAATTATTGTACCGAACCTGCAAATAATGAAATCCTCTTTATAATGAATTTTTCCGACACTTTATCAATTTCGT